CCAACTCATTAATTGAGCAGTGGTTCATTCACTGCTTAGGCCTCGCCAGCCCGCTCTCCTCTACATACGCGCGACCAACTCATTAATTGAGCAGTGGTTAATTCACTGCTTAGGCCTCGCCAGCCCGCTCTCCTCTACATACGCGCGACCAACTCATTAATTGAGCAGTGGTTAATTCACTGCTTAGGCCTCGCCAGCCCGCTCTCCTCTACATACGCGCGACCAACTCATTAATTGAGCAGTGGTTCATTCACTGCTTAGGCCTCGCCAGCCCGCTCTCCTCTACATACGCGCGACCAACTCATTAATTGAGCAGTGGTTCATTCACTGCTTAGGCCTCGCCAGCCCGCTCTCCTCTACATACGCGCGACCAACTCATTAATTGAGCAGTGGTTGATTAATTGCTTAGGCCTCGCCAGCCCGCTCTCCTCTACATACGCGCGACCAACTCATTAATTGAGCAGTGGTTCATTCACTGCTTAGGCCTCGCCAGCCCGCTCTCCTCTACATACGCGCGACCAACTCATTAATTGAGCAGTGGTTCATTCACTGCTTAGGCCTCGCCAGCCCGCTCTCCTCTACATACGCGCGACCAACTCATTAATTGAGCAGTGGTTCATTAATTGCTTAGGCCTCGCCAGCCCGCTCTCCTCTACATACGCGCGACCAACTCATTAATTGAGCAGTGGTTAATTCACTGCTTAGGCCTCGCCAGCCCGCTCTCCTCTACATACGCGCGACCAACTCATTAATTGAGCAGTGGTTAATTCACTGCTTAGGCCTCGCCAGCCCGCTCTCCTCTACATACGCGCGACCAACTCATTAATTGAGCAGTGGTTAATTCACTGCTTAGGCCTCGCCAGCCCGCTCTCCTCTACATACGCGCGACCAACTCATTAATTGAGCAGTGGTTCATTCACTGCTTAGGCCTCGCCAGCCCGCTCTCCTCTACATACGCGCGACCAACTCATTAATTGAGCAGTGGTTAATTCACTGCTTAGGCCTCGCCAGCCCGCTCTCCTCTGCATACGCGCGACCAACTCATTAATTGAGCAGTGGTTGATTAATTGCTTAGGCCTCGCCAGCCCGCTCTCCTCTACATACGCGCGACCAACTCATTAATTGAGCAGTGGTTAATTCACTGCTTAGGCCTCGCCAGCCCGCTCTCCTCTACATACGCGCGACCAACTCATTAATTGAGCAGTGTTTGATTAATTGCTTAGGCCTCGCCAGCCCGCTCTCCTCTACATACGCGCGACCAACTCATTAATTGAGCAGTGGTTAGTTCACTGCTTAGGCCTCGCCAGCCCGCTCTCCTCTACATACGCGCGACCAACTCATTAATTGAGCAGTGTTTAATTAATTGCTTAGGCCTCGCCAGCCCGCTCTCCTCTACATACGCGCGACCAACTCATTAATTGAGCAGTGGTTAATTAATTGCTTAGGCCTCGCCAGCCCGCTCTCCTCTACACACGCGCGACCAACTCATTAATTGAGCAGTGGTTAATTCACTGCTTAGGCCTCGCCAGCCCGCTCTCCTCTACATACGCGCGACCAACTCATTAATTGAGCAGTGGTTAATTAATTGCTTAGGCCTCGCCAGCCCGCTCTCCTCTACATACGCGCGACCAACTCATGAATTGAGCAGTGGTTGATTAATTGCTTAGGCCTCGCCAGCCCGCTCTCCTCTACATACGCGCGACCAACTCATTAATTGAGCAGTGTTTAATTCACTGCTTAGGCCTCGCCAGCCCGCTCTCCTCTACATACGCGCGACCAACTCATTAATTGAGCAGTGGTTAATTCACTGCTTAGGCCTCGCCAGCCCGCTCTCCTCTACATACGCGCGACCAACTCATTAATTGAGCAGTGTTTGATTAATTGCTTAGGCCTCGCCAGCCCGCTCTCCTCTACATACGCGCGACCAACTCATTAATTGAGCAGTGGTTAGTTCACTGCTTAGGCCTCGCCAGCCCGCTCTCCTCTACATACGCGCGACCAACTCATTAATTGAGCAGTGTTTAATTAATTGCTTAGGCCTCGCCAGCCCGCTCTCCTCTACATACGCGCGACCAACTCATTAATTGAGCAGTGGTTAATTAATTGCTTAGGCCTCGCCAGCCCGCTCTCCTCTGCATACGCGCGACCAACTCATTAATTGAGCAGTGGTTGATTAATTGCTTAGGCCTCGCCAGCCCGCTCTCCTCTACATACGCGCGACCAACTCATTAATTGAGCAGTGGTTAATTCACTGCTTAGGCCTCGCCAGCCCGCTCTCCTCTACATACGCGCGACCAACTCATTAATTGAGCAGTGTTTAATTAATTGCTTAGGCCTCGCCAGCCCGCTCTCCTCTACATACGCGCGACCAACTCATTAATTGAGCAGTGGTTAATTCACTGCTTAGGCCTCGCCAGCCCGCTCTCCTCTACATACGCGCGACCACCTCATTAATTGAGCAGTGGTTAATTAATTGCTTAGGCCTCGCCAGCCCGCTCTCCTCTACATACGCGCGACCAACTCATTAATTGAGCAGTGGTTAGTTCACTGCTTAGGCCTCGCCAGCCCGCTCTCCTCTGCATACGCGCGACCAACTCATTAATTGAGCAGTGTTTAATTCACTGCTTAGGCCTCGCCAGCCCGCTCTCCTCTACATACGCGCGACCAACTCATTAATTGAGCAGTGGTTAATTAATTGCTTAGGCCTCGCCAGCCCGCTCTCCTCTACATACGCGCGACCAACTCATTAATTGAGCAGTAATTCACTGCTTAGGCCTCGCCAGCCCGCTCTCCTCTACATACGCGCGACCAACTCATTAATTGAGCAGTGGTTCATTCATTGCTTAGGCCTCGCCAGCCCGCTCTCCTCTACATACGCGCGGCCAACTCATTAATTGAGCAGTGGTTCATTCACTGCTTAGGCCTCGCCAGCCCGCTCTCCTCTACATACGCGCGACCAACTCATTAATTGAGCAGTGGTTCATTTGCTTAGGCCTCGCCAGCCCGCTCTCCTCTACATACGCGCGACCAACTCATTAATTGAGCAGTGGTTCATTCACTGCTTAGGCCTCGCCAGCCCGCTCTCCTCTACATACGCGCGGCCAACTCATTAATTGAGCAGTGTTTAATTCACTGCTTAGGCCTCGCCAGCCCGCTCTCCTCTACATACGCGCGACCAACTCATTAATTGAGCAGTGGTTCATTCACTGCTTAGGCCTCGCCAGCCCGCTCTCCTCTACATACGCGCGACCAACTCATTAATTGAGCAGTGGTTAATTCACTGCTTAGGCCTCGCCAGCCCGCTCTCCTCTACATACGCGCGACCAACTCATTAATTGAGCAGTGGTTCATTCACTGCTTCTAGGCCTCGCCAACCAGTTCTCCTCTTCGATGAGCGCCGGCCTCATCTACTCGATCATCACGATGCCGTTCGAGGCTGACCGAGATGGCCTCGAGATGACTCGAGATGGCCCGAGATGTCCTCGAGATGACTCGAGATGGCCCGAGATGGCCCGAGATTGCCCGAGATTCTCCGGGCTCATCTACTCGCCCATGATCGTCTCGACCATGGCTGATGGACTCAGTTGACGGCCAAGAGCCAATAAATGTTCAACTCATCCATTCATTAACTGCCGTTTTCAGACGGCCAAGAACCGGATGGCCTTCCAGACCCCCGACCCCGCCACGGGCACGCCGCCCTAGAAGCGAAAGATCTCCCCATATCTCCCCGTATCTCGTGCCCTAGAAGCGAAAGATCTCCCCATATCTCCCCGTATCTCGAGGCCTAGATGCGGGAGACGTGTTCATGTCTCCCAGCCAGCGCTCGAGAGGACACGTGCTCCGCTGTACTCGACCGCACTCCGCGGCATCCGTGTCCCGTCGTATTCACGCGGTGCTCTTAATGCTCTGCACGAGGCCGTCCTCGCCCTCTCTGAGGTTGGCGTATTCAAACACACGAGCCTTGACGCCCAGCGGCGGCAGTCAGAAGGCAACACAGGGTGACGTCCCAGGAAGGCGAACACGCAATCACGGCCTCTTCACACCGCAGGCTGTGAACAGCGTCGCTTCACACCACCTGCTGTGAACAATCACGGCGTCTTCACACCGCAGGCAAGCTGCCCTTCACCGGCACGATGCAGACCATCGGCGCCGCCGCCCGCTCGAGCATCAAAAGATGCGCTAGTTGACCGGCATGATTTCTTTTTTAGGCGCGCGGCATACACCCGCCCGAGCATCAAAAGAAACACTCGGGCGCCAACTGCCGCTCTGCTTTTTTTTCTTTCTTAGGCGCGGTCGCCCGCTCGAGCGGCCCGCTCTCGCTCTGGTCGGGCTTCCTGCCCTACTACACCTCGCTGTGAACGGCGTCTCTTCACACCTCCAGCTCTGAACAGGTCGGGCTTCCTGCCCTACTACGGCCGCTGCGGCGGCCACACCGTCACGATGTTTGTCTTTGTGGACCAGCTGCGCCTCCTGTACCGGCAGATGCAGTGAGCACCGTTTGCACGGGGGCTGCTCGACGGGGCTCCGCTGTTGCTACTGTTGCTGCTGTCACCTCCGGTCCACACGCGGGTACTCCCGTGCAAGGGTAGCATGGACGGCACACAGCGTCTACGCACTAGATGAGTCACACATTACACTGAGTCGTGTGCACTTACGTTATTTATTGACGGGGGTTCCGCGCCGGCCGCGATAAAATGAAAGTGTGCTAGTGTGTAACCATTTTTGCCGGGGCCCCGCATTGCCACACATGTGCACATCGGCGCAACATGTACATGTGCACATCGGCGCTGCGGACCACCGGTCCTGGGCAGCTCCTGGGCTCCTGGCAGCCGGGTGACAGGGCGATGCGCGATCGCTTTATTTCACGGCCGTGGGAGGGTGGGAGTTGGGAGACGCCCCCGACGCGGCCCCGACCCCCATCGTCCCGCCGCGTGGCGCGTGGCCAAGGTACTCTCTCTTGGCGCCAGAAGCGAACGTGCAGTGTCGTGGAAGGTGCGCTCTCAGGGCTGCAAGCTATTCCCCGCTACGTCGCCGCCACTGCTGGTACGGCTAGCCCCTCGCCCATGCCCTCGCCCCTCGCCCCACAAGAGCGCCAGCCGTCCCCTTCCCTTCCTCAACCACTCGCCCAGGGACAACACGAAGCCGCCGCCGGAGGAGCTGCTGCCCGAGGAGGTGCTTGCTCGCGACAGGCGCGCAAAGAGGTCAGCCTTGACCACTGGCTCCGCCCCAAGGTCGCGCATCACGTGGCGCAGGCTAAGGGCGGGGGGGGTGGCAGGGGCGACATCAGGTGAAGTTTAGCAGAGGCTCGAGACGAAGAGAGAGTCTTATTGTGGACCTGATCTTGCGATGGTCGGCGCCGGGGTAGAGAGGCACCGCCACCAGATCAAACAGCTTGTATGGCGGCTGCTGCAGCACGTCCGGCGCCAGCTCAAAATAGCGCGCAAAGACGCAGGCTCCCCTCTCCTCGTCCTGCTCGTTCACCAGCGCGATCGGCATCCTAGCGTCCATCGCCCGCTGCACTGTCGCTGTCACCACGCCCCCAGCGTCCGTGAAGGCCCTCTCGTTCAAGTAGATGAGGAGCGCCACCGTGCCGGGAGGTTGGGCTGCGCCTGCCGCGAGGACAGCTCCCGCCTCCTCGATCCTGACTGTGCTGTCGCTGCTCGTCCGAACTGCGGTGGCCCGGACTTCGTTGGCCACCGCCCGCGCCCCCACGTTCGCGTCACAAGTCAAGATTGTAATGCAAGGCGGAGGAAAGCGGAACGGAGAGAGCTCACCCGGCAGTGTGAGACCGCGATCGAGGTCGCTGGGGATCGAGATGTAGTAGGGCAACTGTCGCAGCACCCGCAACGCGATCTCCTTTAGCGACACAACCTATGGTGACGCAGCAGTCTCACGGCCGGCGGCGTGGCGGAGGGGGGTTGGGCGCATTCGTCGAGCCTGGTAGTCGTGCAGCCGCAGCCAGGGCACTGGATCTTGCGCAAAGACTCTGGCGACCACGACCTCCGCGCTAGGGATGCCGGGTACTTGCGGTGCGAAGCAACGACGGGCCTCAGCCTGCATCTCCTCGACCGTAGCACCTACTCGGTGGCAGTCACCAAATAGCGGAAGCGTAGCCTAGGTGTCTCAGAGGACAGACCAAAGCTCACCTCCTTTCTCCTTGTCCGCCTCAATCACCGCCTCGATGGGCTTGTTATTGGCGAGAGCCGCGTAGACCTCGCGCCGGCAGTTGCGACTCGCGAAGTAACCCGAGGAGAGAAAGATTAGCACCACGGCCGCATCGGCCACCGCCTCCTCAAGCTTGCCGATGTCGTCCAAGTTGACCACGTCGAGCCAGATGCGGATGCCGGGTAGCATCAGCTGCAGCTGCCGAACTAGCGTGTGGGTCTGGTCTTGCCCGGTCTTCCACACGTGGGAGACAAAGAGATGAAAGTGCACCTCCTTTGGCATGCTTAGCAACGGCGGGCTGTTTGTGGAGACGGCGCGTAGGGCCGGGGTTGTGGCGGCGGCGTGAAACACCAGGTGCGTGAGCGACAGGAGTACATGCAAGACCAGCAGGCAGATTCCAAACAGAACGAAGAAGGAGAAGATCCCCTCCGCGCTGAAGCCAAACACGTCGCATGCATCTGAATAGCTGTCGCACATCTTGAATACGAGAACGGTCAGGTAGGAGATGACGAGCGCCAAGTTCGACATGTGTGCCAGCCAGTTGTCCTCGTCGCGTCGGAAGGGCTGGACCCAGATCTCGAGAGACAGGAAGAGGATCGAAACGAGAAGCGCGACAAGTACGCGCGCGCCTGCGTGCTGCTCATCGATCAGCATGACAAAGCTGGTAACCGTCAGCTTTCGAAGCACCTCCAGCACCTCCCACAGATAAACCTCAGGCCTGTAGTCGGACCAGAGGAACCGGACGGAGGCCGAAGCGTGCGTCACCCTCCCCGCTCGAATCGTGCGGCGGCATGCAAGGAGGAAGATCAGGTACAGCGCCGGCACGCCAGCAGGCCAGAGGGGGATGAGGCCGTAAGCCCACCGCTCGAGCCGCTGGTGCGACGGCGTGCCGCACTCCATCGAGTAGTCGGAATGCAGGTACGACCTCGTCGTGCCGGTAGCGTCGTTGTACACAAAGGCGTCACACAGAAAACTGCGAAATATGAGCGAGGAGATGGAGGGGAGCAAGAGGAAGCTAAGAAAAAGGCCTGCTGGCAGGGCCGAGCGCAGGCCAGAGGAGGCGAGAGCGACTAGGCCGGTCTCGTGGCGCCGTCCCCTGCAGCGAGCCGCGACGGCTATCTGCACGGCCAGCAGCAAGAAGAGGGCGTACGGAGTGAACGCCGCCCCGATGAGCTGATGGAGCTTGGTCCCGTAGCACTTGGAGGGCACAGCCAGGTCGGCGAAGCGGAAGGCGGCGGTGAGACCCCGTTGCAGGTCGTCGATCGCACCGCCAACGAGCGTATCCGGCGCCGTGAGGACGTAAACGGATGGGATAGCGGCGAGACACTGGTAGAAGGAGATGGCGATTTTGAGCTTCGTCCAGAGTCCCGCGCTCTTCGCCATCTCCGCACCGGCGCGGCCCCTTCTCAGCAGCTTCGCCAGGCACTCGCGCTTAGGTTCCCACTTGCCCTTCAGCAAGGCGGCCGCCGCCACCACGATCCCAGCCCCGAGCAACACGGACACCGCGATCACGGCAAGGCGCCACTCACCAGGACAATCGACGCAGTGCCGATTCGCGAGGCTAAAGTATCTCCCGCCCTCGGAGCAGACCTGGCATAGCGGACCGGTGTGGCCCGCGGCGCAGTAAGGACCTCGAATCTCTTTGCGGCTGGCTAGAGCTCGGCCAGCGGACGTGTCGGCGGCAGGGCTCGAGCCGATACAGATGTCCAAGCCGTCGCAGGCGTAGAGCCGAGCGGTGTCGGGCGAGGCGCGCCAGTAGCCACGTCCGACACCGAGGGACGTGATGGTGGTAGGCGTGCTGCAGTTGGCGTTCGGCGGGCATGGCTTGCAGTGCTCTGTCGGTGTCGTCCAGATGTCTTTCGGGTCTGCGCTCGAGTCGAGGAGGTAGAAGCCATCAGTGCAGATGGAGCAAGTGTTGCTGCGGCCTGCACTACTGAGGGGATGCGGACAGCGGGTGCACTCGCCCTGGCCACGGTTTGCTGCGTACGTCCCGGGCTCGCACTCCACACATGAACCGGTGCCCTCTGCCGATGCGGTGCCGGGAGGACAGGGGCCGCCGCAAGCGCTGCTTGACTGGTCATTTGGGTCTGTCGAGCTGCGCAGGCCGGCGGCGCAGGGGAACGGGAAGTCCTGCTCGACGGGCAGCAGCGGCAGCTGGTAGAGGCTCTTGCCGAGGAGGGAGGGGTCGCCCCCCCAGCCAGTCGTTGGGTCCCAGTTGCAGGGCTGCACACGAGTGGGCTTCTGGCAGAACCAGCCGTCGGCGATCGTCGCGAGACAAGCCGCCTGCTTCTCCGGTTCGCTGTGACGGCGGCAAGCCTCCTGCTTCTGACCTGATGACGGCTCGATCGCATCGGTGAGCGAGCAATCGTCGCGGTGCTCGAGGCAAGCCGTCTGCTTGCACACACCGCGCTCGTCGCAGCAATCATATGCGTAACACGAGGAGTAAGCGCACGCCTCCCGGTACACCTCGCAGCGCGCGTTTGGCAGCCAGCGGCCGGCCGGGGCGGGGAGGGCGTAGGCGACCTCGCCAGCGAGCAGGAAGATAGAGCGCCCCTCTTGGGCCAAGCAGTCGATGATGAGAGTGCCGTCGCTTAAAGTTGTGCGCCCGCCCGCCGAGTAGAGTCCGCCGCCAGACTCTGTGGCGCTGCAGTTGGAGATGTTGGAGCGGGCCAGGCTGGCTGAGCCCGAGGCCACGTACACTGCTCCGCCCCGCATGGCATTGCAGCCGGAGATGGTCGAGTAGGCAACGATGAGGTCGTTGGTACTTGTGTATGCAGCTCCGCTCCGCTGCAAGGGCCACGCGTAGACGCCGCCGCCGGCCTGCGGTTGCGAGGAAGGAGCGGGGCGAGGCAGCCGTGGCCCTCTCGCCCCGCTGCCGTGTGGCGCTGCTGGAGTCTGCTAGCTCTACGCGGCGCACATTGCCAGCCGAGCAGCTCGTCACGGCCGAGCCGATTATCGAGACCGCACCGCTGTCCTCCGCGGAGACGCCGCCGCCGTCCTGCGGTTGCGAGGAGAGAGCGGGGTGAGGCAGCCGTGGCCCTCTCCATCTCGCGCCCCGCTGCCGGGCGCCGCTGCAGGGGCGCGGCTAGCTCTACGCGGCGCACCTCGCCAGCCGAGCAGCCCGATACATCCGAGTCGATTATCGAGACTGCACCGCTGGAATACGCGCTGACGACGCCGCCGTTCTGCGGTTGCGAGGAGAGAGCGGGGTGAGGCAGCCGTGGCCCTCTGCATCTCTCGCCCCGCTGCCGTGCGGCGCTGCAGGGGTGGCGGCTAGCTCTACGCGGCGCACCCAGCCAGCAGAGCAGCCCGACACGTTGGAGCCGATTATCGAGACCGCACCACTGGACTCCGCGGAGACGACGCCGCCGGCCTGCGGTTGCGAGGAGAGAGCGGGGTGAGGCAGCCGTGGCCCTCTCCATCTCGCGCCCCGCTGCCGGGCGGCGCTGCTGGAGTGCGGCTAGCTCTACGCGGCGCACAGCAGAAGCAGAGCAGCCCGTCACGGCCGAGCCGATTAGCGAGACCGCACCGCTGTACCACGCGTAGACGACGCCGCCGTACTGCAGTTGCGAGGAGAGAGCGGGGTGAGGCAAGCCGCGGCCCTCTCCATCTCCCGCCCCGCTGCCGGGCGGCGCTGCTGGAGTGCGGCTAGCTCTACGCGGCGCACAGAGCCAGCAGAGCAGCTCGTCACGTTCGAGCCGATTAGCGAGACCGCACCGCTGTTATACGCGTAGACGACGCCGCCACGCTGCGGTTGCGAGGAGAGAGCGGGATGAGGCAGCCGCGATCCTCTCTATCTCTCGCCCCGCTGCCGTGCAGCGCTGCAGGGCGGCTAGCTCTACGCGGCGCACATAGCCAGCAGAGCAGCCCGACACGTTCGAGCCGGTTATCGAGACCGCATCGCTGCCAATCGCGTAGACGCCGCCGCCGCGCTGCGGTTGCGAGGAGAGAGCGGGGTGAGGCAGCCGTGGCCCTCTCCATCTCTCGCCCCGCTGCCGTGCGGCGCTGCTGGAGGGAGGCTAGCTCTACGCGGCGCACAGTGCCAGCCGAGCAGCCCGACACGGTCGAGCCGCTTATCGAGACCGCACCGCTGCCACCCGTGAAGACGATGCCGCCGTGCTGCGGTTGCGAGGAGAGAGCGGGGTGAGGCAGCCGTGGCCCTCTCCATCTCTCGCCCCGCTGCCGTGCGGCGCTGCAGGAGTGCGGCTAGCTCTACGCGGCGCACAGTGCCAGCCGAGCAGCCCGACACGGTCGAGCCGATGATCGAGACCGCACCGCTGTTCTGATTGGCGTAGACGACGCCGCCGTACTGCGGTTGCGAGGAGAGAGCGGGGTGAGGCACCCATGGCCCTCTTATCTCTCTCGCCCCGCTGTCGTGCGGCGCTGCAGGCGGCTAGCTCTACGCGGCGCACATAAGAAGCAGAGCAGCCCGACACGGTCGAGCCGATGATCGAGACCGCACCGCTGTCCCACGCGTAGACGACGCCGCCCCACTGCGGTTGCGAGAAGAGAGCGGGGTGAGGCAGCCGTGACCCTCTGATCTCTCGCCTCGCTGCCGTGCGGCGCTGCATGGGCGCGGCTAGCTCTACGCGGCGCACCCCGTACTCGCCAGCCGAGCAATCTCTGACCGTCGAGTCGATGATCTCGACGTCGCCTGCGCCGTCCGCGTTCACAACGCCGCCGTAGGTCGCCCTCCCATTGACGAGGGTCAGCCCCCGCAGGGTGAGGCTGCAGCCGCCCGAGAGGTTAAAGAGCCTGGTCTGCCCCTGGCCGTCGAGCGTCGCGCCCTTGCCGCTGCTCGCGACGGTCACCTTGATGTTGGAGGTGCACCAGATCTGATTGCGCAGCTTGATGTGCTCATTCGGCGCCAGGAAGATGGAGATGTCGGTACTAGACCTCTCGACAAGGGAGCGGAGCCGAGCCCCGGCCGTCACAGCAACAAAGCCAGGAATCAGCGGCGGCAGCGGGGCTAGCGGCAGCGGCGGCGGGGAAGGCGGCAATGACGGCGGTCGTGGTGGTGAGGGCGGCGATGGCGGTGGTGGTGGCGGTGAAGGCGGCAATGGCGGCGGTCGTGGTGGTAAGCGCGGTGGTGGCGGTGAAGGCGGCAATGCCGGCGGTCGTGGTGGTGAGCGCGGTGGTGGCGGTGAAGGCGGCAATGCCGGCGGTCGTGGTGGTGAGCGCGGTGGTGGCGGCAATGCAGGCGGCGATGGCGGCCGGGTCGCCCAGCAGATCTGACAGCGGGGAGAATGGCGACATCAGACGTGAGTAGAATAGGGTCGGCCAGTGAGCCCAGGGCTAGGCCCAGGGCGCGCCTTCCACCCCGACCTGATGACGCCGCTGTCCGAGACCCACTCGATGATGCCGTCCTCCACCACCACGCCCTCCGGCCCACGGCTTCCGCAGTACTTCTTGCCGCTGACCGTGAGGTAGTCACTTTCGCAGAAGCTGAACCCCTCCACATCAAAGGCCACCACCTCAAGGCCGACCGCCGGCACACCAGTGATGATGCAATCCTCGTTGTTGCTGTAACTCTCCGGGTAGTTTGGCGACGTGGCGCACGAGCCGCCGTCGGTGATGCAGCACGGGCCGGTGAGTTGCAGCGGCAAGTGCGGCACAACAAAGGTGAACGTCTTCTCAAACCCATCCTCGAGCGTGAGACCGCCCTGTCCGAGCCCGCTCCACTCGGCGCCTTGCCAGCCGTCGCCTCTCGAGTCGTGCATGTAGAGTTGACACAGCATGCCCGGAGAGACGACGGCAGAGAACGACTGCCGCCGATTCGGACCTCCCTCGGCCATCGATGCCACCTGCTCTCCATCGCAATAGAGCTCCCAGCTCCTCTGCGCGCCGTTCTTGCCATTGCTGAGGGTGATTGGGTACGCGACAGCTGGCGCGAGGGGCGGCTGCGGTGGCGATGGTAGCGGCAGCGGTAGTGGCGATTGCGCCGGCGGGTGCAGTGACGCGGGCGAGGGGGGGGGTGCCGATCGCGCAGCCATCGCGGTTAGGGCATTCGCAGGACGCACGCAAAAGTAAACTGATTTTTTTCTTTCACGACACTGGGTGCGCGCGGCAAAGGCGGGCAGTGAGCGCCCTCCGCCGACGTGGAGAGGACGGGGCAGCGCAGACACCGGACAGGGCAGCCCGTGTCATAACGAGAGCGAGAGCGTGCGCGGTCACGGGCACGACTCTGACGTACGGAACGTAATTTTGGCGCGCGCTCGTGGGTGAGCGCGGCCACATGGCCAAGGGTGGGCCCGCCTCATGTCAATAGTGATGCGCCGCAGCAGCCATAGCGGCTTCGTCCAGCCCCGGGTCCATGTACTGCGGCGGCGGCGGCGGGTGCTGCTGCTGCTGCTGCTGCTGCTGCTGTTGCTGCTGCTGCTGCTGCTGCTGCTGCGGTGGCGGCGGCTGGTGCGGCTGCAGCCCTGCCTGGTTTGGCTGGTGCGGTGTTGGAGGCGGCCACACCTGAGCCAAGGCGCCACGTTGGTGTGGCTCGTCGCCGCTGCCGCCTCCGCCCGCCTGCGGGTGCTGCCACGCGACAGCCGGCGCCGCGCCGCCGGCGGGGCCGCAGTGCCGCATGCCGTAGCAAGCCACCTAGTTGATAGGTAGATACTAGTAATGAGCTATGAACTAAGGCGGGGCAGCAGTGCCGCGTGCCACAGCTGGCCTGCGCCATGCACACACCGAGGCCGGAGTCGGAATCAAACACGGTGTGGGGTACTGCCCGTGTATTCAGAGCACCGCGTGAGTACGAGGCTGGCGAATACGCTGAATACCGCGGAGTGTGGCGGAGAACGGCGGAGTCCGTGTCCTCTCGAGCGCTGGCTGGGAGACATTATCACGTCTCCCGCTTCTAGGGCACGAGATACGGGGAGATATGGGGAGGTACGGGGAGATACGGGGAGATACGGGGAGGTACGGGGAGATGTCGGGAGATATGGGGAGATGCGGGGAGATATGGGGAGATGTTCCGCTTCTAGGGCAGCTGGCCGGCGCGGCGCCCGGCGGCGCGGGAGAGGGTAGCGGTCTCTTGCCGCCGCCGCCGCCGCCCGGGCCTGCCACACGCAAACAAGTGAGTAAGTACAGAGAGCACTGTGCATGCTACGTGTGCGTGCTACGTGTGCGTGAGCATACCCCCAGGTGTGAGTGAGAGCATGGCGCGTGTGCGTGAGGACGTGCCACGTATGAGAGAGAGAAGCGAGGGAGCGACAAGATCATGCCACGTATGAGAGGAGGGAGCCACAAGATCATGCCACGTATGAGAGAGAGAAGCGAGGGAGCGACAAGATCATGCTACGTATGAGAGGAGGGAGCGACAAGATCATGCTACGTATGAGAGAGAGAAGCGAGGGAGCGACAAGATCATGCTACGTATGAGAGGAGGGAGCCACAAGATCATGCCACGTATGAGAGAGAGAAGCGAGGGAGCGACAAGATCATGCTACGTATGAGAGGAGGGAGCCACAAGATCATGCCACGTATGAGAGAGAGAAGCGAGGGAGCGACGAGTTCATGCTACGTATGAGAGGAGGGAGCCACAAGATCATGCCACGTATGAGAGAGAGAAGCGAGGGAGCGACAAGATCATGCTACGTGTGAGAGGAGGGAGCCACAAGATCATGCCACGTATGAGAGAGAGAAGCGAGGGAGCGACGAGATCATGCTACGTATGAGAGGAGGGAGCCACAAGATCATGCCACGTATGAGAGAGAGAAGCGAGGGAGCGACACGATCATGCTACGTATGAGAGGAGGGAGCCACAAGATCATGCCACGTATGAGAGAGAGAAGCGAGGGAGCGACAAGATCATGCTACGTATGAGAGGAGGGAGCCACAAGATCATGCTACGTATGAGAGAGAGAAGCGAGGGAGCGACACGACCATGCTAGTGTGCGTGAGCATGGCATGGTGAGCGGTGACCACCTCCCGCCACGGCGAGGTCGTCGCCAAACTGAGCGTGGCCCTACGGGGCATGTCGCGGACGTGTCCTGGACATGCCACGGCGCACTGTGCAGCACGATCGGCAGCTCGACCTAGCACCACACCTCCAGGGTCTCGAATCCAAGCGCGGGTTCAGGTCCCGTGGGTGGTGTGGGAGCAGCGCGCCGCGTCCCCAAACTGAGCATGCCGCCGCAGCTGCGGAGGACCGGGCGGGCCGGGGGGCGGCAGGGCGGCGGGCGCGGCGGCGGCGGCCGGCTTGGCTCGCTTTGCCTAGCGAGATTCCCCGAGATCACCCGAGATCACCCGAGATTAGGCTTGGCCCGCTTTGCCTAGCGAGATTCCCCGAGATCACCCGAGATCACCCGAGATTAGGCTTGGCCCGCTTTGCCTAGCGAGATTCCCCGAGATCACCCGAGATCACCCGAGATGAGGCTTGGCCCGCTTTGCCGAGCGAGATTCCCCGAGATCACCCGAGATCCCCCGAGATTAGGCTTGGCCCGCTTTGCCTAGCGAGATTCCCCGAGATCCCCCGAGATCCCCCGAGATTAGGCTTGGCCCGTTTTGCCTAGCGAGATTCCCCGAGATCACCCGAGATCCCCCGAGATTAGGCTTGCCCCGCTTTGCCTAGCGAGATTCCCCGAGATCCCCCGAGATCCCCCGAGATTAAGCTTGGCCCGTTTTCCCGACCGGCAAAAAGAGGTGCGGTGAGGGGTAGCAGCGGCAGCGGCAGCGGCAGACAGGGTGGTTAAAGCTGCCGTTGAAGCTGGACGACGTTCCAGCGCCCCTTCATTTTTTTTCCACAAACCCCCCCCCCCCCCCCCACACCACGGCGCTTGTGTGCGGTCCGAGCCTGCCTGTTCTTCGCCTGCTCTCCATCTACCTCGAGGCACAGAGCCCCCTCCAGGCAGCGGTGAGGTGTGGCGGCGGTGCGGCGAGGGCAGCAGCGGAAGGGAGAGCGGCAGTGGGGGTGGCAGCGGCAGGGGGGCATCTCGGGCCATCTCGGGCCATCTCGGGGCATCTCGGGCCATCTCGGGTAATCTCGGGGCATCTCGTGCCATCTCGGGTAATCTCGGGTAATCTCGGGTAATCTCGGGAGGCAGGCCTCCGTCACGTACTCCTTGTCGTACACAGAGAGGCCGAGAGCCGGGCCTGGGGTAGGTTCGTCAAACGAGTGACTAATTAACTAAGGCCGAGTGCCGGGCCTGGGGTAGGTAA